TCTTCTATTAGTCACTTAAAAGGCTAGGTTGCTTAATTATTTTCATCGCAGTAATCACTTATTTACAAGGTGGGGAAAAGTGCCAAGCACTTCCAAGCTGAGCAGCACAGCAGGGCTGTGGCAGAGGAGGCAGGGCTGCCGAAACATTTTCTTCCTCCCCACAAATAGGAATGCTTTTGCTTTTCTTGGCTGCACCAGTGATGGTGCCCAGCCCATGCACACCCTGGGCTGATCTCCCCGTTCATCCCAGGGTGTTGGGAGCTGTGGGAGCGGGCTTGGCTGCGGGAAACTGGTGGTTCATGGAGCAAGGACTGGGGAGGAGTTGGGAAGGGGCTGTGGCTGGGTAGGAGGGTGGAACAGGGAGTGACCCAGGGGGAGGAGTGTAGATGGGGAAGAGTAAAAAGAAAATAAAAAGAGATCTGCAGGGCTCGAAGATCCCCCGCCTTGCACTGCCCTGCTCTGCTTCACCCCTTCCAGGCAAACTGCTCTTCTGCAAATGCAGTGCCTCGTGCTCCCAGGGCACAAGGGTTGCGAGGTCCCTTTTAAGGTCCCTCCTGAGAGAAGATGCCCTGATCCGTAGCCTTCGGCACTCACCCAGGAAAGAGGTTCAGATCGTCGTTTTGGAGAGGAGCAGGGGGAAGGAGGGGTCTGGTAGAAGTTAAATGTGTCCCCTTGAAACCTACTGCTTGCAACCCGAAGGAGGTGTTTGGGTTTTGGGTTTGTTTGTTTTTTTTTTGTTTGATTGGTTGTTTTTTTTTCCTAAAAGCTTGTCTGCCTGCCTTCTGATTCTATCAGCCCAATAACAAGTTATTACCTCCCCTTACCGGCCTCACCTTCCAGCTTTTTCGCTCTGTGTTTTCCACATGTTTCTGCGTAGGAATCCGCAGTGCCTCCCCGGCTTCCCAGCGAAAGCTGCGCCGCGCCGAGCCTCCCTCCGTAACAGCCCCTGATGCCATTAAAGTCCATCACAAGCTCCTCTCCCACAGTTCCCGGAGGAGCGCAGGGCAGCGTCTATCAGAGACCGCAAGGAAACAAATGGCCACTTTGAACAAATCCCAGGGCCTCTTGCCAAGCGGGGATTCCCAGCTATTTACAAACCGCCCTCGCTTCCTCCTAATAAAGAGGTAAAATGGAAGCAGGGAAAATACGCGTTTTATAATCACCCAGATTTAGTCCTTCAAAGGATTTATTACAACCTTTTATTTTCATGCGTGGAAAATGTAATCTTATCTAGTATGCTGGCTGGCCCGGCTCAACTCACCGAAGCGGTTTTACAGCAGAAAGCTATCAAACAGCAACCTTCGGGGGCACGCTGTGCCTGGGTGTTAAAGTTGCTCGAACGCATTAAAGCAGTTGAAACGTGTATTCAAATATGGCAGGAGGAGAGGGGGATATCTGTGCAATTAGCAAGCCGGCGCTTTCAGCAGCTGCTTGCAACGTGGATCCAGTGTATCAGCAGCGGGTGCCGCTGAGGTTGGGCGGGGAAAGGAAGCAAACAGGAGCCACGCCGCTGCTGCAAAAACCCCGCTTTCAAAGGGGGTTAGCAGCCAGCTCGCCTGGCTCACGTGGGATTTCAGCAGGGATCAGATGCAAGGGGTTGTAGGAGATAAATGCCTTGAACCTTGAATTTTAATTTATGCTGTTTGCAAGCAGCAGAAGCTGCTGGCGCTGGGGTGGTTTGTGTCCCCTCTCCTACGCTGGGGAGCAGTGCCAGTGACATTTGGAGTTCAGCAAGCAAAATCCTATTAAGATAACGTCACGGCCTTTCTGTTTTACTGTTTGCAAGCCAGCCATAACATCATTAAATTACACAACAGGGAGGTGCCTGCTGCCAAGGAGCGCTGCTCGAGATAAGATGTGGGTTGAGCCGCTGCCAAAATTCGAGTTGATATGACAAGAAATTTGGAGCTGGTTCAAGGCTTGATTCGCACAAGACAGGGCAGCGCGCAGGTAAACACTGTGCAGGATTGGTCCCTGGGGCAGCTCTGCTGCTCTGATCCGGGGCACGGCGCGGGATGGGCAGGTGAGGTCGTGGCTGGCACCGCGCGGTGCCTGTGCGGGGCAGGGCTCGGTCGGGCAGGCTGGGGCTGAAGGCATTTCCCAGTAGCCAAATTTACATCCATTCTTGCTTTCAGCACCGACAAGCAGAAGACAAAATCTGGCAGGATTTGTAGAGGAAGCTCAGGCAACTGTTGGCAGGTCCTCGCCGTCCTTGCCTCCGCCACCCCCTCCTCAGTCCTTTTGGAGGAGTCAGAAGCAGCCCAACGACTAAAGAGATTGACTTTGGAGGCTCGTAGTAGTGATTAAAACAGGTGTAAAGTGAGGGCAATTTTGGCAATACGTGTCTCTCACTGAAATGGGGCTGGTGGGACCCAGCGGGGTTTGCAGGGAGGTGAGCCCGGGAGGAGAAGTGCTGCTGTCAGGGTTGTAAGGGCTGGGTTAGGCGCTGGGCAAAACAAACTGGGAACACCGGGGGCACTGGGTTGCTCGGGGAAGTTTCTTGTTTTGTGATGCCATGGCTGGACCAGCGGGAAAAGGAGCGAGAAGAGCTGCGTTGTGAAACTACACGCAGCCTTTGTAGCAGCACTGAAACCCTGCCTTGTCCCCCGGCGTCACCCACCACGTCCCAGCCTGCTTGCCCACGCAGGCGTTGTGCTTCTTCCCCTCTCGGTGCTGCAGGGACAGGGGGGAGGTTTGGTCCTGGGCTGTCCTGGACCTCAGGTCTCTCTGTGCTGTCCTGCCCGTGGGTAATCTGGGCTTCAGGCTCCCTCTTTCAGATCCCTCGAGGAGAACTCATCCAGCACCATCCTCGCCTTGCCACCGTTCAGCTAAACTCCTGTCAGCAGCATTAACGACCTTTTTTTCCTGCAGCATCTCCCAGGCAGTGGAGATGATGCAGGGCTAGGGCTCTGGGGGGCTCAGCCCAGCCCCTGACACACAGAGGCGTTTAGGCAATTCTGTAGAAGTGCCTGGGCTGTATGTGCAGAGATCCTCGTGTCACCCCATCCTCCAAGACAGGACATCGGGAAGAAGTCACTTAAAAATTGTGCCTTAAAAGCAACTTTCTAAGCATTTTCCATTAGAGAAGCTTTGTTTCCACCAGAGGCTGTGCGGAGACACGAAGCCTGCCCTGCCCTGGGATTCTGCCTGGCGCTCCAGTTCTGCTCTTTCTGCTTTCCCTCGCGGCTGCGTTTCTGGCACTGCTGACTTTCGGGGTCCCAGATGTATCTGGTTCGTGTTGCAGCAGCTCAAGTACAAAGTGGCTGGGAGTTCCCGTTACCGGGATGCTCTCTGCAGAGGGATGGAGCAGCGTGTACAAGCGCATCTCGCAGTGACTTTCCGTCCCAGCAGCGGCTTTGCACATCTTCCCTGCGCAGGAGTTTGGGTTAACACGGTCCCACGAGCGGTGAGACATTTGTGCCTCTCTAGTGCCTCATCTCTTAGCCTGCCAGTGTCCTTACAATTACGAAGCGCTGTATGTGCAGGGGAGATGAGGTACTGTCAGGCAAGCCTGTGACCTTCCTGCAATTCTCCAGTTTCCATAACAGCAGGGTATTTGTTTTGTTGCCATAGAAAACCTGCCTGTGCAGGTTTGCAGGGTACCGAGTTGTCACTACAACCATTGCCTCCTTCCAGTGAGCCTGAAAGGAGCTGCGTGTCCCTGAGAACAAATCAGATGGTGTTTCCTGCCACCTCCTCAGGAAAAAAAAAAAAAAAAAATTACAAACGTTAGATTGACAGTTTTGGAAAGAAAAGTTTTCTGTCTATCAACAGAACAGACACAGGAGCACATCGTCCCCTGCCTCCCCCCCTCCCCGTGGCAGCGGGCAGGAGGACGGTCCTCATCCCTGAGGACACCACGAATCGGGTGTGTTCAGGGTGAGTGGTGGTGGTGCCTCCAGCGTCAGAGCAGGACCCGATCTCCCAGCTGCTGGGGGGACAGGGGTCTGTGGCTCCCTTCCCCGGGGAGGGCAGCGCAGCTCTGGGCTGGGGTCGCCTGCGGCTGCTGTTTCCACGGCCGAGCCGTGGGCTCACTGTGAGATATACAGCCCTGGAGGGGACGGGGCACGGGGTTGTCAGGGGTGCGTGGATCTTTCGGGAGGCGGCCTCTGTGACCTGCTTTCATCCGTCCCCCCTCGGAGCCTCCGCTGCGGGGAAGGGCAGGCTCACCTGCAAGAGACGGGAGAGGGGCTCCCCGAGCTGGTGGGCGCCCTGATCGGGGTGCCTGGAGTTTGCAAAGCACGAGACGCTGTCTCTGCTGATGTCCCCCCCCAGCCTCCCGCTCCCCCGACCGCGCTGAGGCTCCGAGGGCAGCAAGTGGGAGCGGAGGGATTTCCCAAATTATTTCCTGGGGAAAGAACCTGACCCTGGCAGAGGCTGGTGGGCGCAGGATGCAGAGAGGTCTTGTGAAGCCGGTCTGCATCAGACCATCTGGGGGTGTGAAAGGACCATCCCTTTCCCAAGAGTATTTCCCGACCCTTTTCCAAGTGTATTTCCTGACCCTTTCCCAAGAGTATTTCCCGACCCTTTTCCAAGACTATTTCCTGACCCTTTTCCAAGTGTATTTCCCGACCCTTTCCCAAGATTATTTCCTGACCCTTTCCCAAGAGTATTTCCCGACCCTTTCCCAAGACTATTTCCTGACCCTTTTCCAAGTGTATTTCCCGACCCTTTCCCAAGATTATTTCCTGACCCTTTTCCAAGTGTATTTCCCGACCCTTTTCCAAGTGTATTTCCCACATCTCCTCTCTCCTGCCAGCAGCTGGAAGGCATCACCCTGCCTGGACTGCAGTTCCAGGATGGCAGTTCTTGTTTTCATATAACACGGATGTGTATTTTCCGTGCTTTTGGATACCAAAGGCGCTTAGGTGAGCCCTTCCACCCGAGGAAAGCAGTGGGCAGAGGTTGGTAAAGGTTGGGAGGGCACGTGGCGTGGGTCCTGCTTGTCCCCACCCCAAGGGACGGGCTGCAGGGATGCATTCGCTGTGTGCTTGTCCTAGGTGACACCGGGTCTCGAGGGCCAAGAAGGGGAGCTGCTTGTGAAGGGCCCCTCCGTCTTCCGCGAGTACTGGAACAGACCCAGAGAAACAGCGAGTGCCTTCACACCCGACGGCTGGTTTAAAACAGGTACCGCGAGGGGAGAGGGGGGCAGCAGCTCCGGTCTGGCCCCTGGGGTTCCCCAACTGCCGGGGGGAGGAGGGCTTGGAGGTGGGGGGGGGGTCCCCTGGCTGGGGCTGCAGGCTGGACATGCTTCCAAACACCAAGCTCAGAGAGGGGCTTTGCTTGCGTTGACCATAATTAGTCAGCCAAGTAATGGGGTATGTTTGGGGTTGCTTGCTTGGAAACATAAAATACCGGTGCTTAATGTTTTCTGGGGACTTAAACTTTGCAAACTTGGGGGGCGGGGGGGGGGGGAGGTTTAGCTTAACTTACACGGGGACCATGTCAGAGGAAAAACCCCAGTAAGCACTGACAGTCTGGGTCCGTCCTGCCTCCCCTCTCGCCGCCGGCGTGGTGTCTGCGGGGGATTTTGCCCTCCTGGTCGTGGCCGAGTATTTAAAGACAAGGTGTGTAGGGTCGAAGCCATGAGCACGGGCAGCGTGGCTGCGTGGGGTGGGCTGGGGACGTGGGCTTGGCCACCAGCGTCGCGAGGGAGCTTGTCAAGGAACCGTCATTGGTCAGTCAGAAAGTACTAATCAATGGAAAGCTGAACTTTCTGGGGAAAAAAAATCCCAGCGGGTGCCTTCGGTGTGAGAGCGGTTCAGGAAGGGGTTTTGAAACTGCCAGAACGCGTTTTTAAAGTCCAAAGTCTTGAGTCTTCCAAATAAAGAGACCTTTTAGTTTGAAACCAAGGCTCATTTTATTTGTACGTGACACGTTGTGGAAATGCAAGGGAAATGTGTCTTCTGGGTTTTCTCATGATTCGCCTTTCCCTTTGAAGAGAGCGAAAAGTTTCTGAAACGTAGAATGTTCCCAGGGATGGGAAAACCTCTGCTATTTGCTTCTTTCAAGTCAAATTTCACCATAATATCCTAATAGTAATAATACCTATTGCAGGTGGGTCCTGTGTGCGTCTTGGTAGGTTTTATCAGATATTTGCAAATGGAAAAAAGATCCCATTAGCCTGTGATAGCAGCAGGTGCCTTCGGGACTATCCCTACCTGAAGCTGCTGTGGCTGGGACAGCAAGTTTTCAGAGGAGAACTCTTAAACCTAATCCTTCCCACCGTGTAGGATAACAAATTCAGGAGGGTGCCAGGCGGAAGACCTTTCCCAAGCGGAATAGATGTGACAGGCCACGAATAAATTCAGATTACGCCTCCCGCCCTGCGCGTGGCGCGGCGAGTGCTCAGAGACCTCCTCGGGCGGAGGTTCCTGCGCCCCGGCGCCCGTCTGCGATTCAGATTAAATCCTAAACCAGCCGCAGGCCGGGTCGGCGGGCTCCAGCCCCGGCTGCCGGTTGGTATCTCGGCATTCCCACCTGCCTGTCGCCCTCACCGCCGGCCGGGAGCCGGTTGGGCAGTGGGGTAAATGCAGGCAGTTTGTCTGCCTGCCCCAAGCCCAACCGCCGGTTAATCTCGCCAGCGCAGAAGGGTGGGATGGCTCATTTCTGCCTAAGCTTAATTTAGACACGGCTCAGGCTTCCCCGATCCCCTCTTTTCCTGTGTTTTAGCAGTGCCATCGAGTCGGGAGTCAGGCTGGATTCCTGATGCCTTCTGCGTAATCTTATTTATTTACGGTTCTTGAGGAAGCTGTGATTTATTGTTATTATCCCGAAGCAGAAGCGGAGCTGCCCTGCCAGCAGTGTCACCACGGGTCCCCATCCCGGGCGGGTACCGCGGGCTGGGACCGGAGCATCATCAGGCAATGCGCAGGGTGCAGGGCAATCAGCTTTAAAAATTTTTTTAGTCAACGCTCCTGATGAATATTTCAGATGCAAAGGAATAGCATGCATTAATTATTGCAAAGAGATGTCTTTAGGAGAAAATGATTTTGAAATTCAGTTTAATTTCATTGTAATGCGCTGCAAACAGGAAGGGAGTATGTGTGTTTAATTGGCTCTCGGGGGTAAGGCCGGGAAGATGGCATGCCTTTGTCACAGGCCATTAGTGATACAGACTGCATAATGAGAGAGTACAATCAGCTCACAGCTGCCGGCTCCTACGGGGAGAGAATGATATTAAATAGAAATCAGTATAAATTAAACTTAACCCTTTCACTCGCTAAGCAAAGCTCAGAAGGAAGGGCGGGAGCGGAGACAGGCGTTGGGGGGGGGCGGTTTGGGCTGTGGTGGGGGGTGCCTTGCTGACCCCCCCCGCCCAGCAGCAGATCCCCAGCCAGGCTGCCGTCCCCCGCCGCTGCCTAGGGAGGACAGCAGGCTTCTCACCGTCTTCCCCATCCCGTCCCCCCCGACTCTTTGCCTTCCTTTCCTCTCGTTCCTCTCCTGACCGCTTGCTCCGTCTCTCACGGACATGGGGTCAAGAGGGCTATTTTTTATCCCCCAGCCTCATTTAGCCGGCGGTGCCGTGAGCCAGCCCCGTCACCCCTTTGCCCGCCCTGCCTGCCCCCGTCGCGGTGACAGCCTTTGGACATCACTTGGAGACAGCAAACATCCCTGCGGTGGTAAAAAAAAAAAAAAACAATTCCGGGAACCGAGGAGGTTCTATCCCATCATAGTGACTGGGCTCTGGAGGGTGAATTTACGCCGTTAAACAGCTGGTGGGTGGCTTTGGGGTGGAGATTGTACTGGCAGAACTGGAAAGAGGCGAAGCTTGGGTGCTGCCGGGCTCGAATCTGTTGTGTCTGCCGTTTGCAGGTCAGAGGGGTCAGTGTTTTAAAGGTGAGGCTCCGTGCGTGCTCACGGTGCTCCCGAAACCCAGGCGATGGTATTTCTGACTCTCTGCTAGCATTCCTCTCGCTGCCGGACCCTCGTGTGGGTCCCCACCGAGTGACCTGCAGGCCCCCCAAAGCGGGTGACAGTGTGATTGCGGGCGGTGGCTGGGTCCCCCACGTCCCCCAAGAACAGGGGGGATGTGCACTCCGCTGTGGCAGGGGCGAGGTTTGGAGAGAGCCGACACGGAGACGGCGCGGGTGACTCCTCGTCTCCCATCGTTAACGGCGATCCGAAAACCCAGCGGGTCTGCAAACGAAGAATTAATTACTGTAGCGGGAACCCCGGCTGCGCCTCGTGGGGAGCCCGTCCCCGGCGGGGCGCTGCTCTGGGGGGTGACACCCCACGGCAACGGGGCGCGTGGGGAGGGCTGCCCCACGGCTGGCACTCGCGCTGTTAAACAGAAGGTGGTGCGATGCCTCGGAACGCGGGCTCTGTGCATAACCCTCCCCGTGCATCGCTGCCCTCTCACGAGGTGCCACGTCCCACTGGCTTGGCTGAGTAGAATCGGTTTGGGGCTCTGCCCGAGTATCCATCCGCAGAGTTTGCACCCACAAAGCCGAGAGTCACCAGAGCTCGTTCCCTCCTTTGGTTTTGTGATCGGAGTTAACCTGGAGCTGCTGCACGGGGCTCGCGCGGTCCGAGTGCCGGTTCCATCTCATACCTGCCCCCTGGGGAGAGGGGTGATGCTCAAACCTCGCCAGCTGCCTGCCGAAATTCTCCATCGGGTGCTTTTCTGGGCTGCTTTCTGCAAGGCAAGGCTCACAGAGGAATCATGAATGTTTAAGTCTTTTCTGGCCGCAGGTCATTTGTTTTCCCAGTACCTGCTTCAGGCCAGTTCTCTATTTCTGGTTGCTGTTCCTGTAAATTGAGTTATTGTGGGTTTTTTGGTTTTGTTTTTTTTTTTTCCAGAAAGTAGAGGAACCAAAAAAAGAGTCAACACTTAATGGCAGCAGTCGTTTCCCTTTCTGATTGGCAGCTCCCCTTTTCTCCCATGAAACTCTCTTCCCCAAGAAAACAACCTCATGTTGAGCACTGGGGATGGTCATTCCCTCCATGACAGGAGACGAAAACTGCTGTGGCCGCCAGCCCTCTCTCCACAGCGCGCTCCTGCAGCTCCCTGCTCAGTTTCTGGGGGAATCTTGGAATAACGAGGCATTTAGTGCAACAACTGCAAACCCGTGTTTTCTCCCCCCGCGATGAGGGCAAACACTGAACGTGCGCTGTGTGGGGAGCCGGCGCAGTCATCCCTCTGCAAACGTGCCCGTTTTGTGCCTCCGCTTAGAGAAGTTTTTGTGTGTGTGTGTTACGGGGTAAAAAAAGCAGATAAAAAGGCATGATGCTGCAGTGACTTTCTGATGAATTCAAGATCGTGGCTCTTTTGAGAGGCGTCTGAACCCTTGGTGTTGCGGAGGTGATTTGCTGTTGCTCCCATCCCCTTTATTCCCTCCGATTTGCACCGTTGTCCGCCTCTCTCCCCATCTCTCTCATTTCCATCCAAGTGAATTTGATTATTTTTATTGTATTAATGCTGTTGACAGAGCTGCTTAGATCAAAGTCCCCTCCAGGCATTTCCAGGGAGACTGCTGGGTATCCGCCCGCTGTCATACATCCTCAGAGACCGGGACAAACCCAAAGGGAAAATGCCTACGGCCGTCTGTCTCCTGTCGCTGCGATAACTTCCCGGCTGTCCTGCGCCCTGCCAGGTGAGAGGCAATCTCCAAGCACGCTCACAGGCTGCTGAGCAGGAAAGGTGGAAGAAAGATAGAAAAAGAAGGAAGAATTTTTTTACGCCGAGGCGGGGTGAGGCGCTGGCCCAGGGTGCCCAGAGCAGCTGTGGCTGCCCCCTCCCTGGAAGGGCACAAGTCCAGGTTGGTCGGGGCTGGGAGCAAATTGGTTTAGTTGAAGATGTCCCTGCTGGAGGCAGGGGGGGTGGACTGGCTGGCCTTTAAGGTCCCTTCCAACCCAAACGATTTGGTGATTTTATGATGCTACGAGCAGTCGCCGAGCGAACCCCAGGAGCTGGAGGAAAGCAGCAGACAAACACCGGCTTTGGAGGCGGGAGGGAGGGGGGGACTGGGGGGGTTTGGGAGCGTGCTGGGGTGCCCGGGTGCTGCCCGTTGGCCTGCCTGCTTCTGGGCAGGGCGCATTCTCCGGAGGAATCTGGCAATAGAGCGGCGTGCCCGGGGGGAGTGGTACGGTCAGAAAGCAGACATCTCCCCGAGGGAAGGCCGGCT